ATATTGTCATTTTGAATTAGGGTTAGTGTGGCCGCAATTCGATAGTATTGACCTCCGGGAGCTATCCCACAGTGCACCATTGTGACCGCTCTGGACAGCAATCTGAACTCGGATGCACTGGCCAGGTAGACAGGAAAAGCCCCGCGAACATTTGAATTTTATTTCCTGTTTGCCCAGCACAGGAGAGCACTGGTGACCACAGAGAGCTCATCAGCACAGGTAACCATGCAGGCCGATAATCGAAAAAGAGCACCAGCATGGACCGTACGGGAGGTACTGGATCTGATCGCTATATGGGGAGAGGATTCAGTGCTAGCAGAACTTCGTTCGAAAAGACGAAATGCCAAAACTTTTGAAAAAATCTCCAAGGGCATGATGGAGAGAGGCCACAATAGGGACTCAGATCAGTGCCGCGTGAAAGTCAAGGAGCTCAGACAAGCCTATCAGAAAACAAAGGAGGCAAACGGTCGCTCCGGGTCAGAGCCGCAGGCATGCCGCTTCTACGCTGAGCTGCATGCAATTCTGGGGGGGCCGCCACCACTACCCCACCTCTGACCGTGGATTCCGATGCGGGGGTAATCTCATCAGACACACCTGAGGATTCTGCGGACGGGGAAGAGGAGGAGGAGGAGGACAAGCTTGCGGAGAGCACACAGCACTCCGTTCTCCCCAACAGCCAGGATCTTTTTCTCAGCCTGAGTGAAGTACCCTCCCAAGCCTCCCAAGCCAGTACCCATGACCATGACCCCATGGAAGGGACCTCAGGTGAGTTTACCTTTTAAAATATAAAACATGGTTTAAAAGCAAGCGTTTTTTAATGATTAATTTGCCCTGAGGACTTGGGATGCATTCGTGGCCAGTACAGCTACTGGAAAAGTCTGTTAACGTGTCTGGGGATGGACCGGAAATCCTCCAGGGACATCTCCATGAAGCTCTCCTGGAGGTACTCCAAAAGTCTTTGCAGAAGGTTTCTCGGCAGTGCAGCCTTATTCCGTCCTCCATGGTAGGACACTTGACCACGCCATGCTAGTAGCAAGTAATCTAGTATCATTGCATGACAAAGTCTGGCAGCGGATGGTCCTGGTGTTTGCTGGCATTCAAGCAACATCCGTTCTTTATCTCGCTGTGTAATCCTCAGGAGAGTGATATCGCTCATGGTAACCTGGTTGAAATACGGGAATTTAATTAAGGGGACAGAGGTGGCCGTTCCTACTGGGCTGTTTGCCTGTGGCTGAAAAGAAATCCTTCCCTGTAGTAAGCCAAGCGCGGGGGGGGGGGGGGATTGGCGCTGAGCTTTTCACGTGTGGCTAGCAGGGATCTTCCCTGATACCAGCCACACGGTGGGGGGAGGGATAAAGCGATCATCCCAGAGAATTGGATGGGGGGGGGTTAGTTTGTTTTCTGCTGCTGCAGGTTAACAGGAAAACCGCAGCAGTCAACGGGCTTTGCTTGGTATGTGGGAAAGGAGGGCGCAGAAGCTGAAAGACAATGGCTTACCATGGCCGCCGCATGCAAGCCGAATTCTGTTGCCCGGATCTGCGTCTGTGATCTCTAACAGCAAAGCCACAGGCACTCAATATTAAGATGCAAAATGCAACCTTGCACAGAAATCACATGTGCTATGTAATGTGAATAGTATTGTTCACCGTGAAAGAGTATAAGCATTGTTCTGTAAAATGTATCTTTTTAAATACTTCTCTCCCTTTTTTCCCTCCCTCCCTCCAGCAGCTGCAAATTTTTCAAGCCTCCCTCCTCCGTCCTGAAGGCTATCTCAGATAAGGCGTCGGAAAAAGAGGACGCGAGACGAGATGTTCGCGGAAATCATGGAATCCACCCGCAATGAAAGAGCCCATCTGAATGAGTGGAAGGACACGGTATCAAAGTACAGGAAAGATGCCAGTGAACGTGAGGACAGGAGGGACCAACGTGAGGACAGAAGGGACCAACGTGAGGAGAGACGCTCAAGATGAGAGGTGGCGGCGGCAGGAAGATCAGAGGAGGCAGGATGCAACGCTGGGGCTGTTGCGTCAGCAAACAGACATGCTCCGGCATCTGGTGGAGCTTCAGGAACGGCAGCAGGATCACAGACTGCCACTGCAGCCCCTGTATAACCACCCTCCCCCATCACCATGTTCCATAGCCTCCTCACCCAGACGTGTAAGAACGCGGGGGGGGAGGCTCCGTGCACCCTCCCATTCCACCCCAGTGGACAGCCCAACCAAAAGGCTGTCATTATTTTAACCTTTTTTTAGTGGCCTTTTCCTTCCCTCCGATCCTCCTCCCAAACCCCACCCGGGCTACCTTGTCAGTTCTCTCCCTCTTTTTATAACCAATTAATAAAGAATACATGATTTTTAAATGATAGTGACTTTATTTCCTTCGAAAGCAAGCTGTGATTTAAGGGGGGAGGGTGGTTTGCTTACAGGGAATGAGTCAATCAAGGGGGCGGGTTTTCAACAAACAGAACTTTCACACCGTAGCCTGGCCAGTCATGAAACTGGTTTTCAAAGCTTCTCTGATGCGCAGCGCTTCCTGGTGTGATCTTCTAATCGCCCTGGTGTCTGGCTGCGCGTAATCAGCAGCCAGGCGATTTGCCTCAGCCTCCCACCCCACCATAAAGGTCTCCTCCTTACTTTCACAGAGACTGTGGAGCACACAGCAAGCAGCAATAACAATGGGGATATTGGTTTGGCTGAGGTCTGAGCAAGTCAGTAATGTGCGCCAGTGACCTTTTAAACGGCCAAATGCACATTCTACCACCATTCTGCACTTGCTCAGCCTGTAGTTGAACAGCTCCTGACTCCTGTCCAGGCTGCCTGTGTATGGCTTCATGAGCCATGGCATTAAGGGGTAGGCTGGGTCCCCAAGGATAACTATAGGCATTTCAACATCCCCAACGGTTATTTTCTGGTCCAGGAAGTAAGTCCCTTGCTGCAGCCGTTTAAACAGAGTAGTGTTCCTGGAACCCTTCCTGGCCAGCCCACGTTGATGTTGGTGAAACGTTTCTTGTGATCCACCAGTGCTTGCAGCACCATTGAAAAGTACCCCTTGCGGTTTATGTACTCGGTACCCTGGTGCTCCAGTGCCATGATAGGGATATGGGTTCCATCTATCGCCCTACCACAGTTAGGGAATCCCATTGCAGCAAAGCCATCCACTATGACCTGCACATTTCCCAGAGTCACTACCTTTCGTAGCAGCAGCTCAGTGATTGCTTTGGCTACTTGCATGACAGCAGCCCCCACAGTAGATTTGCCCACTCCAAATTGATTCCTGACTGACCGTAGCTGTCTGGCGTTGCAAGCTTCCACAGGGCTATTGCCACTCGCTTCTCAACTGTGAGGACTGCTCTCATCTTGGTATTCTGGCGCTTCAGGGCAGGGGAAAGCAAGTCACAAAGTTCCATGAAAGTGCCTCGTTTTTCTGGTCCTGGTTCAGCATAAACTGCACGATAATGCGTGAGGTGTTTACAATGTTCATGACTGCTGTCTTGAGCTGAGTGGGCTCCATGCTTGCCGTGGTATGGCGTCTGCAGTGTTCACCCAGGAAAAAAGGCGTGAAACGGTTGTTTGCCGTTGCATTCCTGGAGGGAGGGGTGAGGCTGTACCCAGAACCACCTGCGACAATGTTTTTTGCCCCATCAGGCACTGGGATCTCAACCCAGAATTCCAATGGGCGGGGGAGACTGCGGGAACTATGGGATAGCGATAGGATAACTACCCACAGTGCAATGCTCCGGAAATCGATGCTAGCCCCGGTACATGGACGCACACCGCCGAATTAATGTGCTTAGTGTGGCCGCATACTTTCGACTGTATACAATCTGTTTCCAAAATTCGAATTCTGTAAATTCGGATTAATCCCATAGTGTAGACATTCCCATAGATGTTCTGGCAGAGATTACAAACACAGCCAGCTCCAGTGGCTTTTATAATCACGGCAAACACAAACAGTGGGGTTTATAAACTCTGCTGGTGAATTTTGCAAATCCGGTAGCATGGGTAGTTTGTAAGGTCCTAAAAAGAATAACCGTGGAACCATATCAGGCCAGAACTTTCCAGTGGTTTCTGCTTTACGGGAGATGCCATAATATGGGTCTTGGCTTTTCCTATGTCCCTATCCCTCTTTAGGTCCAAAAAAAAACAAGGAAAATTAAAATGAACGTAGGTTAACATAATTTTAAGGGTATAAATGTATATAGCCAAACATCAGGGCATTATTTTCTGTGACATGAACGTAGCCATTTGGAATGTCCTGCCCTTTGCTTGTCCTGTGCTGCTGCTGTTTGGTTGTTGTTTTTTATAACGTTGTATGATGGCAAACAACGTGCGCTGCGCTGCTATTTAATGCCCGCCTTAACCGATGCTATTAACAGTCGTGTGGCTCGGCTCTTTGGGGCCGGGATCGTCTTTGTGCTGAGTCTGGGCAGCACGATGCGGCCCCGCTCCAGGACCGCAATACCCGGCCCAAGTCCTGGGCACGGCTGAATGCCAGATGCGGAGAATCTCGGCGCTCCCATGTCCGGGCTCGGGCGGGTGTGAACTTAACGCTCTAGGAGTTTCTGGCTGTTACTCCCCTGGGGCCGGGGGTAGGCGGGCAAGGCCGTGTGTGGTGCGGGCTGCGGGGGGAGGGGTTAGGGGACGTCAGTCCGTCCCTCAGCTGAAGGCGGAGCACGGCAGCGCCTCACACCGGGTGAAGGGCTCAGCGGGAGGGGAATCAGCCCCGCCGCGCAGAGGGAGAGAGCGCGAGGCGCCGCAGTGTGTCCGGTCCCGCCCCACCCCCCGGGCTCGTACCATTTGGCGGCGCTGGTGCGGGGGTGCGCGGCAAACCCCAGCCAGGGGTTCCCTGGCTGCCGCGCGAGCGACTGGGCTCCCCCGTGACCCCCGCGCGCACATCGCGCAGCCCCCGCCTCCCCCCGGGCTCTCGGGCCCCCGCCGGGCCTGGGGCGGCAGTGGCGGGAGGGCGCTGCGCACGCGGCTCCCCCGCCCCGCGCGCCCGCCCCGGCCCCGCCGTTATTCGGATGCGGAGGCCGAGGCGGGCAGCGCCGAGAGCGCGGGGGTCCCGGACCATGCTGGGTAGCGGGCGGCGGCGCCCGGCGGACTCGCACCCCGACCAGTGGGTGCTGGTTGCACCAGGTAACCCCCCCCGGGCCCCGCGGAGAGCTGGAGCCCTGGCGCCCCGTCTCCCCACCAGCGCCGCCGGGGGAGATTGGACCTCCTTCAGCGCCCCATGTCCCATCCCCCACTAGCGCCCCAGGGGAGACTGGAGCCCTGTGACCCATCTCGGCCAGGAGGGGCACGACCTCAGAGCAGTGAGATTTGATCCCCCTGGTCCACTCAGGCTCCCCTTGTTGTGCCCCGTCCAGTCCCAGGGAGCAGGACCCAGCGGGGGTTGAGGGGCTACTCATTGTAGAAGGTTAAATTCTTTGCAGCTGTATTACAGTCAAGGGGGCAGCTGCAGGGGGTGTATTAAGGCAGGATTTGATGGTCTATATCTGCTGCCCCTTCCCTCTCACCAGTGAGCTAGATGCATCTCAAAGGTTACTGATGTTGCAGAAGGAGAGAGAGCTCGTCCCTTATCAAATCCACCCCTACCCCAATATAACGCTGTCCTCAGGAGCCAAAAAATCTTACCGGTTATAGGTGAAATCGTGTTATATCGAACTTGCTTTGATCTGCAAGAGCATGCAGCCCTGCCCCCCCTGGAGCGCTGCTTTACCGCGTTATATCTGAATTTGTCTTATATCGTGTCGCGTTATATCGGGGTAGAGGTGTACTTAGATTTCCTTGGCTGATTTGCACCCTAGTCAAGACCTCTTTGTATATCCAGCCAACCCCTATCTTGCTAAGTAGCTGGATCATCTACCAGAGCTGCCTGTGTGTAACCTTAAGCAAAGTCTTACAGAGTTCACCATTCTGCTTCTCAGTCTTGACTCGATATTTTCCTACATCACTGGGATATCACAGGGTTTAACTCATTAGAATTAGTAAATTGCTGTGAGATCCTTGGGGAGAAGGTGCTCTACAAGTGCAAAATATTATTTCTAGAGTACTCCCACTGGTGCTTCATCTCACCTGTTTTTGACAATCTTTAGTAAAGGAGCCTCACCTACTTCACAGTTTATTCTGTCTTCTGTTTTCTAAAGGGAATGGCATAGAGACATAAACATCAGCTTTGAAACACTTAGACCCCTCTGAAACACAAAGTTCTAAACCTGATCAGGGATCTACTCAACCCTTCATTCTTATAGGATAAATAAACAGAATTCCCTGTATCTGATGGAAGAATGTTTCAGATGAGGGCCTTAAAAACTGAAATCCTCTCTGGCCTGTATTTCCCTCCACTCCACAACTGTCATTCAGTGTGTTTTGTAAATGTAAAATTGCATTACTGCTAATTTTTTTGCAGTGTCTGGATTAAAAATACCATCTGATTCTTACCTTCAGTAATCTCCAAACAAAAAATTGGTTAATTTTTAAATGAAGGTGGCCGAGTGAGAGAGAATGTGCACAAACTGTAGAAAACTGAGAAAAGATGCATTTCTCAACCCTATTTTCTTCTGGATTTGCTGATTCCTTCCTGGCTCCATTCTTAGCTTTTCTGTTCCACACTCTTGGATCTGACATGCAGAGTGTACAAGATGCTGCTGCTGATAGTAATAATAACTAGGGCTGTCAATTAATCACAGTTAACTCATGTGATTAACTCAAAAAAAAAAATCAAAGTTCAAAAAATTTATCACCATTAATTGCACTTATAACAATAGACTACCAATTGAAATTTACTAAATATTTTTGGATGTTTTTCTACATTTTAAATATTGATTTCAGTTACAACACAGAATACAACGTGCTTACTTTATATTATTATTTCTGATTACAAATATATGCACCGTAAAAATGATAAAAGAAATAGTATATTTCAGTTCATGTCATACAAGTACTAAAGTGCAATCTCTTTATTGTGAAAGTGTAACTTACAAATGCAGATTTTTTTTTTGGTTACATAATAACACTCAAAAACAAAACAGTGTAAAACTTTAGAGCCCACTCAGTCCTACTTCTTATTCTGCCAATCGCCAAGACAAACAAGTTTGTTTACATTGACAGGAGATACTGCTGCCTGCTTCTTATTTACAATGTCACCTGAAAGTGAGAACAGGCATTCATGATGGCACTTTTGTAGCCAGCGTTGCAAGGTATTTACATGCCAGATATGCTAAACATTCGTATGCCCCTTCCATGCTTTGGCCACCATTTCAGAGGACATGCCGATGATGCTCATTAAAAAAATAATGCTTCAATTAAATTTGTGACTGTACTCCTTGGGGGAAAATTGTATATCTCCTATTCTGTTTTACTTGCATTCTGCACTCTTTACATTTACTTGCACTCTGATGCAGAAACTACAGAACCCAAACCACCAAAAAAGAAAATCCACCTTCTGCTGGTGGCATCTGACTCAGATGAAGAAAATGAACATGTCGGTCTGCACTGCTTTGGATCGTTATCAAGCAGAACCCATCATCAGCATGGAACCATGTCCTCTGGAATGGTGGTTGAAGCAGGAAGGGACATATGAATTTTTAGCACATCTGGGACGTAAATATCTTGCAACGCTGGCTACAACAGTGCCATGTGAACGCTTGTTCTCACTTTCAGGTGACCTTGTAAACAAGAAGCAGGCAGCATTATCTCCTGCAAATTGTAACCAACTTTGTTTGTCTGAGTGATTGGCTGACCAAGAAGTAGGACTGAGTGGACTTGTAGACTCTAAAGTTTACATTGTTTTATTTTTGAATGCAGTTCTTTTTTTTACATAATTCTACATTGTAAGTTCAACTTTCATGGTAAAGAGATTGCACTACAATACTTGTATGAGGTGAATTGAAAAATACTATTTCTTCTGTTTTTTACAGTGCAAATATTTGTAATAAAAATAAATATAAAGTGAGCACTGTATGCTTTGTATTCTGTGTTGTAATTGAAATTAATATATTTGAAAATGTAGTAAACATCCAAAAATATTTAAAATAAATTATATTCTATTGTTGTTTAACAGTGCAATTAATCACGATTAATTTTTTTAATCACTTGACAGCCCTAATAATAACCACTAGCTCTTATATCATGCATTTCATCTGCAGATCTCAAAGCAGTTTACAAGGGATGTCAGTATCATTCTCCTCATTTTACAGCTGGGAAAACTGAGGTACAGTGCGAGGTGAAGTGAGGTCACCTACCAGGCTAGTGGCAGAACCAGGAATAGAACCCAGATTTCCTGAATTCCAGTATAGGATGGGGATCCACTTCTTTCTTTGACATCTATGCAAACTTCAGTTTAGAGTTAAGTACTGTATTCAAACAGTTGGCTTTGCCCACAAATGCCTCTGTCCTATTAATTTTAACACACTTAACTTTATGCATGTGAGCAGTCAGTTCTGTGCAAAATGTTAATCTCTCACATCAGCATTTTCAGGATTGGAGCCAGAGCTTGTAACTTCCATGAACTCAGACAGGTTTCCTTACAGAGGCTATGTGTACACTCGGGGGCTTTACTGGTATAGTATAGGTATAATATACCAGCAGAGTGCTCCTGGTGTGGGAACAGCTGCACTGGCAAAGTTGCCAACTTTGCCAGCACAGCTCCAGCAAAGTTTATAAAGTTCATCAAATGTATAGGAAAGTTTATTAAATTCAGTAGAACCTGAAAGCACATATTGAGTTTCAAAAGTCCACAGCAAATAGCTCCAAGGTTTTGCTGCTGACATAATCAGAAATAGTCTTAGGTCTAATTGGTCTAATAGTTGAAGTCTAATTGAAGACCATTGAATATAATAAATTAAAATTTTTATAGTGTTTTTGATAAATTACAGAAAGTTGAATATCCCTTTTTGAAGTCCCATATTTCAGAAGTGTTTTGTCAGAATTTCTGTAAAATTCACTTATGGCTATACTTGCAAAATTTGACTTTGCTTTCCAAATTTCCAACAGAATAGTCTGTTTTTTGAGGAAGTTAAATTCTTGCAACTCCCCTGTGGGGTAGGTAAGTAACAAGTTTCTGATTTTATGCAGGGAAACTTATAGAGAGAAAAGATTTGTTTTACTGTTACAACAAGAAGCACGAAAGAGCTATTTGTTACTTTTTCTTCTTGGAAAGTAGGTACATCCAAAGGATCCAGTCCTACAAACACTAAGTCACACCTATAGCTGCTCGCATGAGTAATCTTAACATTAGAATAGCTCACATGGGTGTTGATATCATGTATCACCCTATATATTCAGTAGCATTATTTTCACCTGGACATGAATAGTTCGTCTTGCTTTGATTGTGCCTTTTTTTAACGTTAATGGAGATGATGGGCTAATTCTGCAAAGAAGCAGATGTCTTGGAATCAATCCAGACAGAGAAGGGAAACTGAAATTAAGGGACTTGTCAGCAAGTATTCAGAAATGAAACTGAAACTCTACCTAAATCATGTGTATCTTGATACCCATCAAGCCCCAAGCAACATGGCAGCAGCTTGTTATACTGAAAACTCTGTGAAATAGAGTGCTACAAAGTTAGGGCCTCACCCTGCAAACACTTAACCACATGCACAACTTTTCTCATGTGACTAGTCCCATTGTACCGAGAATTAGTATTGTATTAATGTCACAGAGACCATTGAACAGCCCTCGCATGATTTTTAGTTGCTAATGGCAGATTGGATTGAAAACAGCTAGAAATAAAAAGCTCTGTTATTCCATTATCCATCTCCTGACTCACCATTAAGACTGATAAAACAACGAGGAGTCCTTGTGGCACCTTAGAGACTAACATTTATTTGGGCATAAGCTTTCATGAGCTAGAACCCACTTCATCAGATGCAACCATTCAGACTGATAGTAAATCTTAATCTGAAACTTTTGCACTTCAATTAATGGTGACATGCTTTCCCCCGGCTGATCACTGTGATGCAGCATTGGAAAGGGCAAGATACTGTCAGTACTTGCAACAGAAATCAGTGGAATGCCAAATAGTTAAATTGGAAGGCTGAGCGGTGCAATTTCTAAGTCTTCAGTTGAACTAATCACATGAGCAAAGAAAAAGCCTGTTTTCATTGTTTAATAATGAAAGGAACAGTTATGTTGTG